ATAAGGAAAACAATAATATTTTTGGAGGGTTTTCCACTACTAAAAGATGAATGTTTTACAAGTACTAAGGGATGGTATTTATAGGCAACAAGGGAGGGTGAAAATCTTGTTAGGTGGCCTTGAATCTTGTTAGGTGGACTTGAAGAGTCTTGTTAGGTGGCTNAGGTGGCCTTGAATCTTGTTAGGTGGACTTGAAGAATCTTGTTATGTGGCTTTGAATCTTGTTAGGTGGACTTGAAAATCTTGTTAGGTGGCTTTGAATCTTGTTAGGTGGCCTTGAATTCTTTGATCCCCCTTTGTTTTGAGCTTTGATAATTGACACCCCAGTAGTTTGTAGCTTTGACGCACAAAATCCTGAAAGAACAACAATTAATGCATTATCCTTTATTCACACACTAATTCTAATTTAATTTATTTTGACTAGTTTGACTTTATTCAACTAACACAATTTACTTATTAAATTATGTCTTAATTAGGGTTAATCACCCCACTACGAGCGGTAGGAAAAATTCAAACCTTCACGGAGTAAGAAACACATCTACCCACTCTACAATACCCGGTCAACGGCCACCCATGGTCACCCAAACATCCACAAGAGATACAATACTCAACCAATTTCTCCAATCCCAAGTAAAATCCAAAATCTCCAAATTTCACATGTATTATTCCAATAGAAGAATTTAAGAAAATATGCAAGAGATTATAAAAAATATCATTTTATTGTTCAATACCAAGCACTAGAATTTTGAAATCAAGAACAAGGAAAAAATCAAGAGAAAAATCCATTTTCCTTGAAAACTAGGGTTTTAAGACAAGAAAAAGAGATTTCATGGCCATCTAACCATAGCTTTATTTGAAACATGGTAATATTTGTAAGAATATCAAAAATCAAAAATTTTCTAACATATAAATAGGATTTAGAGTCAAAACATACATATATATATATAAACCTTAGTCTCAATAAAAGAGAATAGGAAGAAATTCATACCTTCTTCCTTAGTTTTATGTGAAGAACTTGAAATTTGATCTTTTCCACTTGAAAATCCCCCCTTGATCTCTTGTTTCTCCCCTTCTTTGTTGCTCTCTAAGACTCTCTAGGATTAGAAATGTTGAAATGGGGCTAAGGGAGGTGTGCTTATGTATTCATAGGGGGTGAAATGGTCCTCTGTCCACGAATCTGAAAGTTAGAATTCGTAATTCACGTTCGAACGTTATTTGGCGTTCGAACGTCAATAGTGCGAATTATTGATTCACGTTCGAACGTCATTTTGGCGTTCGAATGTTGGTTGCTCCTACTACTTCTACATTTCCATCAAAGCTCTGCATACACCAAAGTACTGGGATTTACTGTCGTTCGAACGTCTCCTCACGTTCAAACGTCCTCCAGTGTTTGCTGAAACTTACAGTGAAATTTTTCGTGAAATACACTTTTGTAGCCATGGACGTTTATTGTCTACTGTAAAAATATCAGCTCAAATGGATATCAGGGTAAAAAGTTATGGTTCAAATTCTGGCAGTTTCCAAAACCCTTTCTACCCAAATTTTATCTAAAATGTGTTTGAACTCCGGAATACTTCCTAACTTTCAATTCATACCCTATTACCTCGCCTAATATTTTTATTTCCACTCTTACAATCCACGTAGTTCATGCATACATTATCACATACATTAACATTTCAAAAATAATTACGTTGCTATATAAAATGTGACAGTAACCTTCACCATTGGAAACTATACCACATTTTTTTTTTGCTTCTATCAAATCGATGTCTTTGAACTTGTTTTTTCTTTCTAAAAATAAAGTATAATAAATTCCACCAATGGACAAATGCCACATCCTTGTCTGGGCCTTTTGGCATACCTTTTGATTGGATTCAGATCCCCGTTACACCTTTTCTCCAATTTTTACAATGACCTATCCAAAAAGTGACACGTCAAAAAAAAATTTATATCAATAGGCAAGATTTTTTTTTTTTAATAAACTAGAGTTCTTAACCAAAGTTAACTTCATCATCTTCACATCAAAACAAACAGAGGCCATAAACATGAGCTTGGCTTGATAGAAGATTTAAAGTCGTACTATGGTCCAAAGCAAAAGACTTCATGGAATACAAACTGAGAGCATCCACATACCAATACTTGTTAAATGACTATTTTCATTCTACAGTTAGATACGAATTTTTTGACTGTCAGATCAAATTAGAATTAGTTATGAATAACATGAATCTTTTGACTATTTGATTAAATTAAAGTTAGATATGAATAATACAATTATAGACAGAAAATAGTTATTTAATAAGTATTGTAGACAAAAAAATAGGTATTTTTATAATTTTTAAAAAATATTAAATAGTATTATATAAATTATCGTAAATGTGAAATATAAGACACAACGCAATTGACTCGACACAAAAATATTTTGTGATTAAAATATTTTTTTATCGACTCAAACACAACACAAAAATGATACGACATAACACAAAATAACATGATAAGACACAATTGAGAGGTATTTAACCAATATTAATGGATGAAATTCTTTTTCAATCATAAATCTGAAATATTTAAATTTTGAAGGTGCAATTTGTAATTATCCCACACTTTTTTAATTGTAAAATGGATGACAGTTAATTTTCGATGCACATTGATATAATTTATATCTCTCAGTGTGTAAATTAATATTTTAAACTTTGAGGGTATAATAAGATTCGATTGATATTTCAGTATATAAGTTGAGATTAGCTCTAAAATTGTAGTCACTGAAGTCGGAATAAAAAAAGAGCTTTGCCGACTCTTTCTTATTTCTCTCTCTCTATCTCTATATGTGATATAAACCATCATCAGCATACCAAGTAGGGCTATTAATCAAATTGAGTTACTCGAGTTTGGCTCGAGTTCGGTTCGTTCAGACTTGGTTCTTTTTCTAAACGAGTTCAAACTTGAACAATTTTTTAGGTTGGTTTAAAAATAAACCTAACAGGCTTGGCTCAAACTCGGCTCATTTTTGTGCAAATACTCGAGTCTGGTTTGTTTTGGGCTCGTTCAGGCTCGACTCATTTTTTAAATGAACTAAATTTGAATAATTTTTTAGGCTCAATTAAAAAACAAGTTTTTTAGGCTCGACATGAAGTCGTTCGACTAAAAGCCCTAATACCAAGGACTAGTCGTCATTTTCTTTTCGGCTCTGCATCACTATGTTAATGATTATTGAGTGGGAAAAAAAAACTAAAATGAATTTTATACTATTGGATAAAAAAAATGAAAACTTGATCAATCTTAATTGCTATTATGTTTTTATAAATTAAAATTTTAACTTCATAATTGTAATACTAGATAGATAACTATGTTTTGTGCCTAGAAAGAGAATGTGTATACTAACAAAAAAAGGTAGCAACATAATTTTTTGGGTTAATTATACTGGAGGTCTCCAAAGTATGAGATTTGTTTTATTTTAGTGCCCAATATTTTAATTGCATCATTTTGATTTCTGAAGTATTAAATATGTTTTAATATGACCCCTCAAGCAGACAACATCTAAATTGTTAACGATTTTTTATTATAAACTTGTTACGTAATACTTAAATATGGATAAAAAAATAATTTTGATACCTCTTAAATAAAATTTGGGTAATTCTTAATAAAAAAAATTTATAATATGGGTAGTTTTTGATCGATTTTGGATATCTCATGATTAAAACTTTGTAATTTGGGTAACTATTTAACCAAAATTTGAGTAAAAATTTGGTCAAGAGTTATCCAAATTATTTTTTTGTCCATATTTAAGTATCATGTGACAAGTTTATGATAAAAAATCGTTAGCAATCTAGACGTTTGCTTGATGGACCATATAGAAACATATTCAATACTTCAGGGATCAAAATGATACAATTAAAATATTGGAGATCAAAATGAAACAAATCTCATATTTTGGGAACTTGTAGTGCAATAAACCCTAATTTTTTTGTTGAGTGATATGTTTGTGCTTACTTTTGTTTTATTTTTAACCTCATGACAATATAATTCATTAGTGGATCCAGTGATAGTCTCTTGAATCAAGTAGGGCTTATTGTATTGAGCTCCTCTCCAATTTTTAAATAAGTGTGAATATGTCCACATCATCAAATTTAGACTATGTTGAATTTAGAATTTGGTAACGTGAACATGTGAGATTCAAATGTATAATCTCTTACTATACTGTCATGTCAAACCATCAAATACACTAAAAGCTTAAGCTCAATCTTAGAAGACTTTATCACAATCTCTATATAATTTTTGAATAAATTTTATTTTATACCTTCAAAGATTTAAAAATTTTTACTTTGCACTCTTAAAGATTAGATTTTTTACATTTGCATTAAAAGTACTGAATGTAGCCCTGCTGTTAGTTTCAGTTACTCATTCTATCAAATTCAATGAGGTCATTTTTGATAGAATAAACATCGGAAGTTAACTGAAGGACCACATAGCAATACTTTTAATACATTGAGAGTGCAATGTGAGAAATTTAATCTTTAAAGGTACAAAATAATTTTTTTTTCATAGTTTTCAATTCTTTCTATATAATGCTATGAATAATTCTATTAGAACTGAAAATTTGATTTAATTTATTGACATAATAATGTGTTAAGTGATGGAGTTCCTAATGAAGAAGTTCAAGAGTAATATTCATAATAATACAATTAGACTATGTGAGTGCACATCATTAGTTCAACAAATTTGGTTAATTTTTTAGGTAATACTATATTGTGTCGATTTTTGTATATAAAGTTATTGTTTCTTTCCTAACACCGTTATGGGATTGTTCGAATACTCATAAACTCAGGGACTCTTACATTCATACATCATCAACTAGAGATTTGCTTGCTACAACTACATGTCATAAATTCTAACATTGAGATCTTCTTCTAAAAAGTAACATAGCAATCTTGCACCAGTTATTCTTTATTATAAATCCACTCTTCAATATGGCTCTTATTGAAGCAAACATGAGCTAGATATCATTAAGGATAGACCTCAATAACAGACCTCAATCCCAATGAAGGAGTTATTTTATAGCCACTAAAGCCAACATCAAAGAAGAGTTTTGCCCACTCTTTCTCATTTCTCTCTCTGCCAGGGTACAAAATCATCACCAACATGTCAAAAAAGAGTTGTGTTTCAATTGACTCGTCATCTTCTTTTTGATTTTGCACGATCATGTCGATGATTATAACCTTTCCTCCTTTGTCATTGCTTGGGATCGCCTCTCTACATTTCTTTAGTATCCTCAAGCTCTCTTCATCACTCCAGTCATGTAAGATCCACTGCTTATCATTCACATAAAAATTATTCAATTCATGACAATGATGTCTAAGAAAGAGACATAAGGAAAATAACCACACATTTGCCAATTAATTGATAGTGTAACCTTTATTAGGCTATTTAAATTATTCATTTACTTATTTATTTATCTTTGGCTTTGTAAATGATCCTAGGCTTCATTTTTCGACCAATGATACACTATCATCTTTCCCTTCTTTGACTTTTCAAGAGACAAATTTAATCATATTTGAGTGGTACATTCTTAATTAACATTTTTAAGATAGGGTTTGAGAGTGGTAAAGGAGATATTATATTAATCGAAATACTGTTTGGTGACATACTAAATAATAGAAGAATAAAGTGTTGAATTCCGATAGCCTTGTGAATCAAGTCTCCTCTCCAATTTTTCAATAGGTATGTCCACATCATCAAATTCAGACTACGTTGAGTTTAGGATTTGGTTACATGGATGTCGAGATTTGAACGTATAATCTCCTACTNTCCACATCATCAAATTTAGACTACGTTGAATTTAGGATTTGGTTACATGGACGTCGAGATTTGAACGTACAATCTCTTTCTCTATCGTCATGTCAAACCACCAAATATACTAAAAGCTCAAGTCCAAGCTTAGAAGACTTTGTTCCAATCTCTGTATGTCTATTAGATGAATTTCACTTTATACCATAAAATATTTAAAAGATTGTACTTTGTACCCTCAAAGATTAGATTTTTCATATTTGTATTAAAAGTGTTGAATATGATCCTTCTGTTAGTTTCAGTTACTCATTCCGTTAAAGTCAATGGGGTCATTTTTTTATAGAATAAACAATAGAAGTTAATAGAAGGGCCACATTGCAATGCATTTAATACATCAAACCAAAGGCCCTTTGGTCAAATAGTACTCATTGCCTTGTGATAGAGCTACCGTCTTGAAGTCAAGGGGTCAAGCCCCCTTCCCCCTCCCCACGAGGGAATTGAACCCCTCGAACACCCTCTTGCAATATCTAACCACCATGCTAGTGACCAATCAGGCATCACTAGACATGGCATCATTAATCAAATGGTTAAGCTTTGGTTCATGGCATGTATAGTCCCAGAGTGTCCTCCCATGAGTCGAATGAAACGGCATGGGCTCGTCATTATGGAACTTGTCACTCATATGGTGCCATGGCTTTGTCATAATTGGATCAAGCATGGCTAGCAAGAGGAGTGTCACGCTAAAGGGCTCATCCTTTAGGAGGAGCCAAGAGGCTAGTGTGATCAAATAACCTCCTTCATAATTTGTCGAGATCTTTTGCCTGACAAAAAAGTCAGAGTGAATCAGGATGTGCATCAGGCGATAGATGAATTTTTCTTTTTTGTGGTGGATTGGAAGAGCATCTACCAACTCAAATAGGTTCATAGGACAGCCATGAATGTGGATGACATCTGGTATGCTTAGTGGAATTGCACATTTAAGTGACATAGAGTTTATGGAGTTGAATATTTGGTTCCATATGTGAACTTGAGCTGGAAGTAGCTCATGAGATTGCTCTCTATTAGGAAATTCCATCTCTTAGCTGTTGTTGATAAAGTCATTTTTGTCAAAGAAGTAATTGCTTCTTAAATTAAGTGGTTTGGTACATGTGTACAATTCAAGAATCATTAGTAATATCCATGTATGGAGTCTAAGGGTCATTCATGAATCTACTTATCTAGGGTTGCATACTTGGTCTAGGTACATGACAGGAGAGTCCTATAAATTCTAGAAGTGTTTTGAGTCATGGGTGTATCCCATTTAGGGCAGAAGCAAAAAGAGAGTGTTAGAGAGAGAGAGTGAGGGTTCTCCTAAATACTCATTGTCTTTCCTTTGTCAGAGAGAAGTTATTGTAAATCCTTTTGTTATCCTTTTACAACATTCTCATTTTTATAGTTACTACTTCAGTTGTAATTGTGTGCCCATACTCACAACTTCCTAACAGTGGTATCAGAGCGAGGTTTATAGCTATGTTTTTGTGCTACTGTCAAATCCAATTAGTGGAATAATTCAATGGGAAATAGAAAAGTTCAATGGGAATAATTTCTCATTGTGGAAAATGAGAATAAAAGCAGTTTTGAGAAAAGATAACTACTTGGCAACAATTGGAGATAGGCTCAACGAGATTCTTGATGACGGCAAGTGGAACAAGATGGATGGCAATGCTATTGCTAGTCTGTGTCTAGCACTTACCGATGGAAGTATTGTCAAGTGTGGCGGAGAAAAAGACTGGCAAAAGAGATATGGGATACGCTGACAAATTTGTACGAGGCCAAATCACTACACAACAAAATCTTCTTGAAGAAAAGGCTTAACACCCTTCAGATGATGGAGTCAACTTCGGTGACTGACCACATCAACACCCTCAACACTTTATTTTCACAGCTCACAACAATGGGGCATAACATAGAGATGGGTGAACGTGCTGAAATTCTACTTCAAAGTCTACCTGATTCCTATGATCACCTCATTATCAACTTAACAAACAATCTAGAATATTAGTCTTTGATGATATTGCAGCTGCGGTTCTTGAAGAAGAAAGTCAGCGCAAGAGCAAAGAAGATAGATTGGGAGGCTCACAAGAAGCTGAAGCTTTGACGATGACAAGAGGGAGATCAACGGAATGTGGCCCCAGTGGGAGTCAAAATTAGAGTAGATCAAGATCCAGAAGTAAGAAGAATGTTAAGTGTCATCATTGTGGCAAGAAAGGGCACTACAAAAGGGAATGTTGGCACCTCAAGAAGAACGAAGAAGCCAAAGGAAAAGGTCCTGAGTCATTAAAAAAGCTCAGGGTTGTGTAGCAGGCACCTCAGATGATGGTGAAATTTTATACAGCGTGGCAACAATAGTTACTGACGACAGAAGAAAATTTGATGATGTCTGGCTTATGGACTCAGGAGCTACATGACATATGACCCCACGGAGAGAATGGTTTCACCAATATGAATCTATCTGAGGAGGATCTGTGTTCATGGGAGACGATCATGCCTTGGAGATTGCTGGTATCGGTACCATCAAATTGAAAATGTATGATGGTACGGTTCGCACCATCTAGGAGGTATGACATGTGAAAGGTCTGAGGAAAAATCTATTGTCTTGGGACAATTAGATAATAGTGGGTGCAAAACTCACATTCAAAATGGGATCATGAAGATAATCAATGGTGCGCTTGTGGTGATGGAAGCGGAAAAGATAGCTACAAATTTGTACATGCTTAAAGGAGAAACACAACAAGAAGGAAAGACGTCTATTGCATCAACAAGTTCGGCAGAAGAATTGACAATGACGTGGCACTGCAAGCTGGGCCACATGTCAGAACATGGTTTGAAGATTCTCACTGAACAAAAGCTTCCTCCAGGACTCAAAAAGGTTTCATTACCCTTTTGTGAGCATTGTGTTATTAGTAAGCAGCACAGATTAAAGTTTAGCAGTTCTAGTGCTAGAAGTAAAGCTATCTTAGAACTGATCTATTCCAATGTTTGGCAAGCACTAGTTATGTCCCTAGGAGGTGCAAGATACTTTGTGTCTTTTATTGATGATTACTCCAAGAGATGTTGGGTGTATCCAATCGAGAGGAAGGCAGACGTATTTCTAGTTTTCAAAATATTCAAAGTGCGGGTGGAACTTGAATCTGAAAAGAAGATCAAGTGCTTGAGGACAGACAATGGAGGAGAATATACCAGTGATGAATTTGAAAGCTTTTGTCAACAAGAAGGTATCAAGAGGCATTTCACGGTGGCGTACACTCCACAACAAAATGGAGTAGTAGAGCGGATGAACAGAACCTTGCTAGAATGAACAAGAACAATGTTGAGAACTGCGGGGATGGTCAAGTCATGTTGGGCAGAAGCAGTCACGATCGCATTTTATGTGATAAATCGGTTACCATCAACTATAATTGATCTGAAGTCACCAATGGAAATGTGGACTGGTAAGCTAGCTGATTATTCTCAATTACATACATCTGGAAGTCCTGTGTATGTTATGTACAATGCCCAAGAAACATCAAAGTTGGATCCAAAATTCAGAAAATGTATCTTCTTAGGGTATGTTGATGGAGTCAAGGGGTACCGCTTGTGGGATCCCACTGCCCACAAGGTGATAATTAGCAAAGACGTGATATTTACTAAAAATAAAGTACAAGAAAAAGAAAATGATAGCACTACAAAAGAGAAACCAGAGACTACTACAGTTCAAATTGAAGAACAAGAAGTTCTAGGTTCTTCTGAAGCAGCACCAGAGCATGAAGAACAAGAACAAGCTGAGTTTGCAACTCCACAAGTTCGACGATCAACTCGGGAGAGGAGAGAACCAGCTTGGCACTCATAATACATTATGGAGGAAAATGTTGCATACTGTCTACTAACAAATGATGGAGAACCATCAACTTTCCATGAGGCTACAAAAAGCCAAGAAGCTTCCTTGTGGATGGCAGCAATGCAGGAAGAAATTGAAGCTCTCCATAAAAACAAGACATGGGATCTTGTTCCACTACCACATGGAAGGAAGGCCATCGGGAACAAATGAGTCTACAAGATCAAATGAGATGGCAGAGACCAAGTGGAGCGGTATCGTGCTAGATTGGTGGTGAAAGGATTCGCTAAAAAAGAAGGCATTGACTTCAACGAGATATTCTCTCCTGTTGTTCAATTTACAACAGTTCGAGTAGTTCTGGCGCTGAGCAGTTGGATATTTGGTTCCATATGTGATCTTGAGCTTGAAGTAGCTTATGAGATTGCTCTCCATTAGGAAATTCCATCTCTTAGCTGTTGTTGATAAAGTCATTTTGGTCAAAGAAGTAATTGCTTCTTAAATTAAGTGGTGTGGTACATGTATACAATTCAAAAGTCATTAGTAATATTCATGTATGGAGTCTAAGGGTCATTCATGAATCTATTTATCTAGGGTTGCGTACTTAGTCTAGGTACATGATAAGAGAGTCCTATAAATTTTGGAAGTGTTTTGAGTCATGGGTGTATCCCATTTAGAGCAGAAACAAAGAGAGAGAGTGAGGGTTCTTCCAAATACTCATAGTCTTTACTTTGTTAGAGAGAAGTTATTGTAAATCTTTTTGTTATCCATTTACAAAATTCTCATTTTTATAGTTACTACTTTAGTTGTAATTGTGTGCCCGTACTCACAACTTCCTAACATTAGCTAGCTTGAGATGTCCAATGATTCATGTAAAGCCTAAACACATTGCTTTATTTATAGAAATTGGAAAGCATACTAGCATGATAGATATTTTAATGTATTATACAAAGATGTATTCAGTTCAATTTTTTAAAATAGTAATATCACGTGTTTTTAGTTTTTGGATAATTTATCTTTTTGTTTACAAGCAATAATTTAATAAAATATTATTAAATGGTACACTAATTTTTCCAATGTATTCATGTCTACTTTGACATTATATGAAGCAATAGTTGAGAATGTGGATTTCTTGTCAATTTATTTGGATTGTGTTTGTTGACTAGATACTTTGTAAGTAATTTTTCAAATTTAATTCTATGGATGTAGACACAATTTGCCGAACCACATATATCTTTTGTGTTCTATTTTTCCTTCCTTTTCCTCTCTCAATATCTCTCATATTGTGAATTTCTTCATATGATAGGATTAGAAACAAGAGACCATTGATATCTAGGTTCTTTATATAAATATAGATGATGCTAGACTTGGTGATACTTATTTTTACCATATATAATTCTCACCCTATAAATAAGATTGACCCTTATATAATCAAGCGCCTCCAATAATACATCAGATGTAGCCCATAAGGCATTAGGGTCATGGATGTAGGTTACGTGTCGAACCACGTATTTCTTTGAATTGTTATTTTTCTTTCTATGTTATTATTATTTGTTCTTAATTTCTACATGGTATGCGGGTAGATGACAACCTGCTAGGCGAAATGCTTATTTCTTATGCATCTTGCAATTCTAATGCATAGCCAATGAGTTAAGTTACTGAAGCTTGGTATTGTGAGACCCGACTCAATGTTGCATATGTTTTTCATTTTTTTTTAACTATTAGCGGGTCGAATCACATAATCTCTAGTGTTATTGATTTTCTTCTCTTTTTATTATTAATAGTAGTTAATATTATCCGAGTGGGTGGATGTAGGCATCGGTATCAAGTTAATATTAATAATTACACTTACTTTTATTTTATGGATGACATTATCTTCTTGTTTAACAACAACAATTTTAAAAAGTATTATACAAAACAACAATCGAGAATATGAATTTCATGACAATTTCTTTGGATTGTGTTTGCCGACAAGATATTTTTGATGTGATTCAGAAATAATTTTTAAATCTTTATTTCTTGACCACGATTTTTTTTTATAAAAGGTGACAATAACCTTTACAATTGGAAACTATACCACATTTTTTTTACTTTGATCAAATCGCCGTCTTTGATCTTTTTATTTCTTTCCAAAAAGAAAGTATAATTAATTCCACCAATGGACAAATGTCTCATCCTTGTTTGGCCTTTTTGGCATACCTTTTCATTGGATTCCGATCTCCCAT